CCGCGGCACGGCCCCGCCACCGCCATCCTCCCCCGCTCTGCACGGGGCCGCAGGGACCCTGGGGAAACAGCGCCGCCAGCCAAGGGATGTTTTTTTATTATTATTTTATTTTGGTATAGGCCGTTGTTTTATTTTTCCTCCCCTCCTTTCTTAGCGTCCTGTTTTGTAAGAGCCTCTCCTAACTCCAGAGCAGGAAGGGGAAGGGGAGGGAGAGGAGAGGGGACTCGCTGGGCCGCCCTTGCCGCCTTGTCCCATGTCGCACCGCTGGCCCGACGCCTACCGTTGCCTACGACTCTAGTTGCTGCATTGATTTTTTTTGGTGTGTGTTTTCATTGCTGGGTTTTCTTTTCTTGCACTTACGGAGAGCACGGGGCTCATTAGGCACATGGTATGCGAGGAGTGCAGTGTCTTATCCACACATTTCCGTATAGCGTACGGTTCAGATACTTCTTTTGGGTAGAGACTTATTTTTATTTGGACTAAATGTTATAAAAGAACCACCACTTAAAAGGGACATTTTGCCATGAGCGTTTGATGATGGTGTATCCTCCTCCAGTAAAGCAACTATTAATTGCTGCTTGATCACCACGTTTTCCTTTTTGTGTGCACAGTTAATTACAGGTAAAGACTTATTTTTGATTCATAACGTCCTCCTGTGTTTTCTGAGTCACTGCCAAGGTGCACTCCATGGTGAGGGAAAGGGGAGGAGGGAGAGAGCTTGTTTCATCACTGAGAAGTGTTAATTATTTCTCCTAATTACTTTGCTGAACCTAGGTTAGGCCGCTAAATGTAGACAATTAACAAAGCCTGGATTAGATATTAGGCATTGATCTTGTCTCCAACTGCCATTTCCAAAGGAGTCTGCATCAAAAGAAGGCCGGAGAGTCCACGGCAACTTCTCTGGAGACCTCAGCTGTCCAGAGTCCTGGCACCCACAGAGCCTGTGTCACACAGAAGTTGTTGATTTTGAGTATCTTTAGTTAGCTAGAGCCTAGGACTGCAGTAGAGAACATGCAGGGATCAGATCAACTCCTTTAAAGCTCATAAACGTGCTACAAGCAGGGAAAAGAAGGGAGGAGAAGCCAGAGACAAGTCATGTAACTCAAAAATCAGGAGAATGGGACTCTGCCATCTATGCAAGAGCTTTGAGGGCGGCCTGGCCATGGCCACAGGCAGGAGCTGAGGTGGCAGCAGGATAAGAGGAGACAAGACAACCCCACCACCCTCGAGGGCAATGCGGGCAGGGAACCAGCACTTAGTGAAATGGAGAAGGAAACTGGAACAGAAAGCATGGGGCAGACACTCAGGTCAAACTGGCACCAAGAAACTGGGCACATTTCTGCTTTGAGCAGGCAGCACTGCTACATTTAACCTTAGGGAGGAAGGGCACAGGACTTCCCCAGGACAGAAATGAGGATTGTGGTGACCCTGCTGAGATTCAGTCAGAAAGGCAGGGGTTGACGCTACTGTTTCCTCCCTTTCTTCAATGCAGTTGATTGCTGTCTGTTATTACTGACATTTACTCTTTCTTTGTACTTTCTCATTGAGATATACCTAAAAACCCTCATAGGTTACTGTTCTTTTAAGTAATAGCAGAGAGGAGTCTGTAACAAGATCAAGATCTCTTAATAGCACTTCTGGAAGGTGAAACACACATTCCCCTTTCCCAGCACTACTCTTTTTCTCTAGAAAATTAGATTAAGCAGTAGAAAATTTACTACTTCATAAAACTGCATCCCAGCCAAATGCCATAGCCAGCAGCTTCCCTGCAAGCACACGTCTTCATTGCACTGCAAAGGATGTTGCACCTAAACTAAGCCTTTTGTAGTTATTTTTTCCTCCCTTTTGCCTTTTTTTTTGTCATTGGCTGTGTTTTTTATTATTTTTTAATTAAAGAAACAGAAGTGCCTTCAGCAGTCCCACAACCACCCCTTGGCCCAGTAAGGTTCAGTCCTTGCTGACTGAAGGATCCTGCTCTTTCCCAGAAAAGCCACTTGAGCCCTTCCAAGAGGTTTTCACACGTGGCCCCCACCTACACACAGCTGCCATTTGACTCACCGGAGGGAAAAAAAAAATCCACTTCTTTATCCAAAAACCATCAATCTCACAAAACAGTACAACCAGAGCATTGTTATTTGATATATAGTTACTTATTTACTCCCAATTTGACTCCGGTTTTAACTATTTAGAGCTCCGTCAGAGCTGTATACCAAAAAGCCCTGTCTGGCTGTGGTTGTATTTGCTGGTTCACCAGCTGAAGTGTTAAACCTGCAGCCCTTGGGATCTGGAGACAAAAAGAGGAGGAAACAACCCTGGTCTATGAGCACTTACCAGGTTCCTCCTTAGTTTAAGGGTTGGCAGAGCAGGCGGCTCATGTGCAGGACGCTTCTTAAAGAGCCTCTTGCAGGTTGGAGTAGCAAGAGAATCGACACCATCAGTATTGCAATAAGCAGTCCTGCCAATTCATGGCCGTGAAAAGTCTTTTGCTAAAATAACCCAGAAAGGAGGAGCTGAGCATCCCTGCCAGAAATCAGTGCCACTGGGTGCTGCAGATTTTGCTGTCAGAGCCTTTCTGGCAAAAAGATCTGGAGCGTTTGGCCATGATCACGCAAGCCTACAAAAGCAGAGGGGAGTTTCAAAGCGCCCTGAAGGTCCCATCGTCATCGGGACTGCCCAAGTAGCACAAGAAGTTTCACCATAGGGTGAAATATGGGCAGCAAAAGCCTATGCACCCCCGGGTGCCCTTAGCTCTGCTCTCTCCTGGGCAGCAGCAAGACTGGAATGCACCATCTCCACCCCTACCTCGCTCCACAGTAGCTTGGGAATTAAAAGAAGGAATATCGATGTCACTTCCTAGCAGCAAGGGAAGGAGTTCTTACCTGATACAACAGTGGTATCTCAAAAATTGGACAGTCGCATCAGTGTAGCCTGCCAGGCTATAAAAGAAGGTTTTCCTACTTTTTCACAGTACCAAATGTAACATGCACTCAAACCACCTTCATTTTCTTCACTATTTGCCTGGGAGTTGGGGGAAAATTAGTCAAGACCTTAGCAAACAGCTACATATGGCTGGGAGGTCTCAGCAATATGCAGCGTACGAGACTGTTAGCTTACATTTATTTATGCTGAAGAATAAGGCATTGGGCTCCCTTCCAAGCATTTTAAAAAGACACGAAAGGAGACCTTATATATGAGCTGGGAACAGACCCATTGTGGCAATAGCTTGTATTATATTGTTAACATTATAAATTCCATTTACAATACAGCAGTCATTTCATCCATCATTTATTCATGCAGACAAGAGAGGATGTCTTGCATTTTTAGGACCACAGTTCTCCTTACCCTTGGTATTGCTACAGTCAATAGTCTGAATGAACAACCCTCCTCCAGGTGTTGGCCGCTCCAGTCTCTCCTCCTGCACATTCAAAAGGACCTGCAGCATCTCACCGCACTGAAGAACTGCAAAAAAGTCCCAACTTTGAAATCACTGCTGCTTTTTAGATTCCACTGAGGCCCAAGAACATTGGGGCCCCTTAATTATTATGTGTCTGCCACTACATCATCTTCATGCTCTAGAAACACGCACCACTCGGCAGAGCATCAGCACAGAGGGGCAGGGGTGTAAGCCAGCACCTTACACCATAGTGCACACACAGGGAAACACAGATTAAAGAGATCTTACTAGGCAAGTAACTGGATATCATCACTCTGCGCATGGCTCCGGTTTATCCTGAGCTGTCCAGTTTGCAGTGATGACATGGAAATCAATTGGGGTGAAACTTAAAGGAGAAAGGAATGAGCAGACCGATGCTTCCCCTTCACTAGAAGGCTACCCTCTATTCTCTGTACAATCAAAGGGTTGAAATAGGGAGGCAGGGGAAACCCTGAACCAAAAATACTCCAGCTCTTTGAAGAAACATTCAACCAGTGACTACGGCACCACGTAGAGAACCCATTTTGCACTAGGAATTTAGCTGCCAAGCTCAGAAGAACGGAAGCCTCTGCATGAAAACCCAAATGCTTCCTATTCCAAAGGTTTTTTGGCACAAAGTCCAATTAAAATGAGGAATTTAGCTGCCAAGCTCAGAAGAATGGAAGCCTCTGTATGAAAACCCAAATGCTTCTTACTCCAAAGTTTTTTTTTGGCACAAAGTCCAACTAAAATATTTCATATTGTTTTGAGTTCTTAACCAATTTTTCTGACTTCCACAATTTAGCAAAAAGAGAATCACTGAACAACTTCCTCGAACTTGCACTGCTTCCAAGACAAGAAAACACGAGGATGCACACAGCAAATCTACACCCACAGCTTACAAATATGACTGTCCATCAGGCCTGAGGATGGTCCTACACAAAAACAAAGTGGAATTGAGAAGAAACTACCAAAATTGTGCAGTATCTGTTTGCACCTCTGTGCAGATTTCATTTAAACCAACGAGAAACTTGCTTCGGAGTTGAGCTGACCAAAATATAAAGAGGGAAAAAGTTAATTAAAGCTACAAACTTACTCTGACTTGCATGGGAAGAGAGAGAAGTGTTTCACATGCAAATAACCCAAAGATTTTTTTATTCAAAAATACAACATTAACAGTACAGACTGATATGGTAGGAATAAGCTACTACTAAAAAAGATTGACAACTTAAATAAATCTATATTAAACCAGAGGGGAGAGGAAGAAAATAAATAAAAAAATAATAATTAAAAAAAAGCTCGAGCCACTTGACCATTCCTTATAAATGATGTTTTATGGAAAAAATACAGGAATTATAAAATTACATATCCCATGTTTTCTGCACATAATACAAGCAAAATGGATGTTAAAACAAAATTCCTTCCAGCATGTGGTTAGCAGAGTTCTCAA